TTTCCCATGATGAATATGACTTGTGACAACTGAAGGAATGTAATACGGACCCGTAGGTCGGGAGTTGGAGCCGAATACGTCCGAAACTTAGTCGAAAAATGGCATTTCAGGGGCAAAAATTCAAAACAGCCCTTGAACCACCATGTGCCTCCCACGAGCAGCTTTCCCATGACGAATATGACTTGTGACAACTGACGGAATGTAATTCGGACCCGTAGGTTGGGAGTTAGAGCCGAATACGCCTGAAACTCAGTCGAAAAAAGACTTTTCGGGGGGAAAAATTCAAAGCAGCCCCCGAACCACCGTGTGCCTCACACGGGCAGCTTCCCCATGACAAATATTACTTATGACAGCTGACAGAATGTAATTCGGACCCGTAGGTTGGGATTTAGAGCCGAATACGCCCGAAACTTTGTCGAAAAAGGGCTTTTCGGGGGCAAAAATTGAAAACAACCCCCGAACCACCATGTAGCTCTCACGGGAAGCTTCCCCATGACAAATAGGACATGTGAAAATTGATAAATCGTCATTCGAATCCGTAGGTTGGGATTTGGAGCCGAATATGCCCAAAACTTAATTGAAAAAAGGCATTTCGGGAACGAAAATTCAAAACAGCCCCCGAACCACCGTATGCCTCTCACGGGCAGCTTCCCCATGATGAATATGACTTGTGACAACTGACAAAATGTCATTTGAACCCATGTGTTGGGAGTTAGAGCTAAATACGCCCGAAACTTAGTCGAAAAAGGACGTTTCGGGAGCAAAAATTCAAAACAGCCCCTGAACCACTATGTGGGTCACATGGACAGCTTCCCCATGACAAATATGACTTGTGACAACTTACGGAATGTAATTCGGACCCGTAAGTTGGAAGTTAGAGCCGAAAACACCCGAAACTTAGTCGAAAAAGGGCTTTTCAGGGGCGAAAATTGAAAACAGCCCCTGAACCACCGTCTAGCTCACACGACCAGTTTCTCCATGAAAAATAGGACTTGTCACAACTGACGGAACGTAATTCGGACCCGTAGGTTGGGAGTTAGAGCCCAATACGCCCCAAAACTTAGTCGAAAAAGGGCGTTTCAGGGGCAAAAATTTAAAACAGCCCCCGAACCACCGTGTGCCTCTCACGGGCAGCTTCCCCATGACAAATATGACTTGTTGCAACTGACAGAACATCATTCGGACCCATAGGTTGGGATTTGAAGCCAAATACGCCTAAAACTTAGTCGAAAAAGGGCGTTTCGAGGACGAAAATTCAAAACAGCCCCCAAACCACCGTGTGCCTCTCACGGGCAGCTTCCCCTTGACGAATAAGACTTGTGACAACTGAAGAAATGTAATTCGAACCTGTAGGTTGGGAGTTGGAGCCGAATACGCCCGAAACTTAATCGAAAAAGGGCGTTTCGGGGGCGAAAATTCAAAACAGCCCCGAACCACCTTGTGGCTCACACGAGCAGCTTCCTCATGACAAATATGACTTGTGACAACTGACGGAATGTAATTCAGACCCGTAGGTTCGGAGTTAGAGCCGAATACGCCCGAAACTTAGTCGAAAAAGGGCTTTTCGGGGGCGCAAATTGAAAACAACCCCCGAACGGTCGTGTCGCTCTCACGAACAGTTTCTTGAATGAAATGGCATTGACATTAATAAGTAGGGATAGTTTTATATCCAATCTAATGATTCAAGTGCCTTTGGCAAACAATTAATAAGAAAGTTGGTAAAAAGAATACTTTTATTCACATTGGGCTTTGACGTTGGTTTAGCCACAGAATTTGGATAGATGTTGCATACAAATAGAAGATTGTTACATTAGCTTCATGTTAGTAATAACAAATTTAGTAATGCTTGTTCTGCATTTAACAATGTTCTTTATAACAAAAGACTATAGAAAGACTGATAATTGATTTATCATGGAAGGTTGCTTCTTTGATATGTTATGTGTCACTTGTTGCCAAATTCATTCATGAAGTTGGGTATTTTTTGTTCTAATTCTAATGTTTTTTTGTTTTTTTGTAGATGATTTTGTTGCGTGGACTTGTGGAGAAGAAATTTCACTTTTATATAGAACGAATATAATATTTTTGTCGTCCCCGACTTTTGTGCAGTTCACTATTACTAATACATAAAACTTTTGGCAACCAACAGATAATTACTAGCATAGTACATAGATCACCTTCTGTCATCGTACATATATATGAGTTTTTTTCATGGTACATAGATGTACTTTTGTCTTCGTACATACATCACCTTTTGTCGTGGTACAGATAACGATGGTAATTTGTACCATGTCAAATGGTCATTTTACATGGTAGTAAATGTAATTTTTGAATACAGAGGGCTTTGATTTTTGTATGATTGTATATTTTGTATGGAATTATTATTTTAGTTTGGACAATAGTTAGTTTGTATGGACTATGACAGTTAAAGTTATTTATTTTTTGTATACGCATGCAGCTTGTGAAATGATTGATAGTATATGTATCATTTTGTTTATATACGTATTACAGGTTGCATGGAATATAGACAGGTTATGGAGAAATTACAATATTTGTAATAAAACATAATATCATGTTTTTGGTCACTAAAAGTTTTGTAGCAAAAAAAAAAAAAAAAAAATTCAAACATTTGGTGACTAAAAGTTTTGTAGCCAAAAGAAAAGAAAACATTTGGTGACTAAAAGTTTTGTAGCCAAAAGAAAATCAAACATTTGGCGACTAAAAGTTTTGTAGCCAAAAGAAAATCAAACATTTGCCGACTAAGATATTTCGTAGCTAAAAACAAATAATAAAACTTTTGCCAACTAAAAATTTAGTAGCAAAAAATGTGGGACTTTAGGCGACTAAATCTTTAGTAGCAAAAACAAAAACTATTTGCCAACTAAAATTTTAGTAGCCAAAAATGTGGCACTTTAGGCGACTAAATCTTTAGTAGCCAAAAAAATTTGACTTTAGGTGACTAAAATTTTAGTAGCCAAAACACTAGTATTTACTTTAGTCGACCAATATATTTAGTAGGTAAAAACTTTTTCCACGACTAAATCTTTGGTCGTTAACAATAATTGAGACTTTTGGCGACAAAAAAATTGGTCGCCGAAAATGTGTTATTTAATTTTTTTTTTCCAACCTTTTGGCTACTAAAAGTTTAGTCAGCAAATGAATACATTTGGCAACTAAATTAATTTTGGTTGCCATTTAGCTTTCTCGACTACTCTTCGGGTACTAACTCTGCGACCAAAAAATTTAGTCGCTAGAGTCCTTCGGCGACTAAAAATTGAATTTTGGCGAAAGAGATTTTTTTTGTAGTGTACCCACATTGGACTAGTAAGGACCACAATGATATACAGCGTTGATATGGTTCATTTATTAGTTTGCATTCCAAAGGGCTCTCAAAAAAGAACTTTTTGATTTGAATATTTTCTTACCACCCTTGAATCCAATTATTTGAGTGATGTTAGGGTTTTTTTGTTGAATTACATAGGACCACTCAAACACAAAAATTGGTTAGTGCATCAAATGTTGAATCAAACATAAGGACCTCTTATTTACTTAAATGTTGTCGATTGCAAGCTGGGAATTTGACTAAACAATTTTAGTTTTTGCAAACCCAATTCCATGGCAAAAAGCAAAACATGCTTGATAGCTAGCATTTAACGAATGCAGTTAAATCTCAAATAAACTACATGGTCCTTTTGTTGATTGAGTTTGTTGCTTTAGCAATACAAAAAATTGCTAAAAAGTTAGAATTGATTTTTGAAGTGAAAAGAGTGAAATTTCTCTATTCTAAGACAGATAAAATCTTAATTTTGTTATTTTGAAGCCATAAATTTGAATTTAGATACTCAATTTTCAAAATTGATTCTCAATTTTTCAATTTTCAGCTCTCAATTAAAATTTCACTGTGACTATTTTTTATAACAGTAAACACAGTGAAATTTTGGCAATTTTTGTTTTTTAAAATTTTGTGTTCATAATGAATCTTATTTAATCAATCTTGACTAGAGAATTCTATAAATTTTGTAAAAAAACAATGGAGATCTAGATCTTAAGTAATCAATTTTTATTTTATTATTATTATTATTTTTTGTGTGTGTGTTTATTAAATTCAAACCACATTAATCTATGAAAGAACTAAATATAAAATATAAAATAAAAAACAAAAAAAAAAAGAGAGTAAAAAAACACTGAAATGAATAGTTGGCTATGTACCACCACCGTGTTTAATGATGGCATCATTGAAAAGGTTGCTGATATATTTGATAATAGTGGTTTTGCTAGATGACAGTGAGTGGGTGACAATTGAGAGAGGTGTTAATTGGATAAAATAATAGATACAATAGAATCAGGTCATGGAGAGATAGGAATTGTCTAGGTTATGGTGGAGGTTAAAACTTCGATCAACGTATAACTTTTCGGTTGAGCAATTTCAGTAAATTAGGTACAGATCTACCCTTTGATATTATTTCTGCAAAATAATAGTGGTCAGGTTCGAACCCACGATCTGAAAGTTAAAAGTTAAGGAACCAAATTTTAACTACTAAATCAGTAACCCGCCTGCCCAAAAATCCATGATTCACTATGCATTAAAAAAAATCAAAAACAAACTTGTAACAAGAACATGTCTGATGAAAGATGATGAACCTGTCTACTGAACAAATCACCTAAGAGTGGCAGTAAAAAACAAACAGCATGCAAGGGTTATATATAGACTATAGTTTGTTTATAGATTCCTGAGAAGAGGCCTTAAGTTTCTAGATGTAAGTGACCCAGGCTATTGATTGGGAGATTCAAAAAAGAAAAAGAAAAAATATATAAAACTAAATAAAATGTAAATATATTTTATTCACATTTCACCTATATTTTTCTTTTTTCTTTTCATTTTCCTTTCCCTTTTCAAATTCTTTCTCAAATCTCCCAACTAAACACAGTCTTAATAGATTCTGTACGGTCTAATAATGAGAAACCAACATCACTTAGTGCATCAGGTTCAGACATTAACTTGGTGTCACTGAAAATAAATCTTCATACATGATGTAGCATTATATTCCAGGAATCAGCAAACATAAAACAATTTTTAAGACAAATATGTTCAAAATTGAGCGCCGGACATTGGAGCAAACATAGGCATCATTCTAACTAAAGTCTAAAAGTGGAACAGCCCCTCTTAATTGAACATCAACTACTAAAGTACTTGCAAAAACAAAAACCAACTAGAAAATATAACACGTGACAGCACAATGCATATAGTTCGCAACATCATTGACAGCCTTGTCCACTGAAAATTTTAAATTGCCAACATCCACCAATACCATAACCAACTGCAACTCTATGTACTTTGCTTGTGCATAAATATGAAAACCAGAAGCTATACCAATTGCAATTAGGACGACCATCAAAGCCCTCTCCCATGGCTAGCTATAAATGTCTGAAAAAACAGAATACACAACTGCTTTAGAAAATTAACTTTTTATTTGAAGTTCAGTCCAAAACAATAGTTAGCATAAGAAAGAAGAGATTGCACACCATTTTCTGGAGTTGGGATTGTTTTTTTCTACTTTATCTAGTACAATTACGTGTACTTCAAGCCATGGATAACCCACAGTAATGTGGCTCTTTTATATTTATATATATATATATATACTATATATTTTTCATGCTAGGGACACAGTGCTTTTGGAGGTGAAGACATTTTATATTTAGAACACCCTCTGGTCTCCAATACACATACACAGTTACACGTCTTCCACTTCGATCAAACCAGAAAAAATGTACGAGGATAAAAAAAAGTTGCAACACAAAAAATGATATGAATGATATGCAACCCGGCAAATGATACATGCATTAAAATTTGAGTTAATTATCTAAAAGTTTTATTTACAAATGTTATGGTGGTTTAGGTCCTATCTAAGATTTTTTGAACCAATAAGTCATATTTAGTTAAACTGAAAATATTATCAATTTTTTCCAATTTTTAAAACTAAGAATATTTTCAATTTTGCATAGTAATGTTCCAAATAATTGTTTCATTAACTGGTGAAAAAAAACAGAGCATGAGATCAAACATTTTTGCCTTTCTACTTATTAATTTGATTCAACTATCCAATAAAACCGAAAACATTATCATTTTTTTCTAATTTTAAAACTGATAACATTATCAATTTTTTCATTTAAATTTTTTTTTTTTTTTTCCAGTTTTACGCATCAATGTTTCATTATCATATTCCTTTATAAATACAAAATTTTCAGTTTTACACAAAAAAATAATTCAATTTCTTCAAAAAAAATATATATATATATATATATATATATATTTTTTGGCCCATAATTTCACCAAAAACTCTTAAAGTAAACCATACAAACAACAAACTCCCTCCGAAAAGTTTCCTAAACAAAGATGTAAACCCAAGACATTCTCAATATGTGTGTCCCCTAAGAAGCACGAACACTTCTAAGAAAGGTGATGTATATGTATCATGTCCGGACTGGACACTCTTAGGACACGTGTCCGACACTCTTCAAAATGTGTCCTATTTTAAATGTTTTTAAAGATCCAGACACTCTTTGAATACTTAGAGGACACACATATAAATCGCTTAAACACACATATCTGTCAATTAGACACGTGTGAAACTAATTATAAATTTGAACAAAACAACTTAATATACAATAATAAAATAAAACCCATATAAATTTATAAGAATTAGTATCATATTGCATTTTTTATTATTTTTTAATAATATATTTATATATATATAACATATAATAAATATATAAAATTATATATCTCATGCATGTTCCCCACGTGTTGTGTCCTGCATTTTTTAAAAATTAACGTGTCGGCGTCCGTGTCGTATCCATATCGTGTCACATGTCCGTGTCACTTGTTAGTGTGTCACAAAAGAGCTCCTATAAAAGGCGAATAGCGAGGAAACCAATCCTGTCCCTAGTGCCTTCAAATAAATTTCCCATCTTGCTTACAACACAACACCTAGTGGAAGGGCAGTAAACACAACCAGTTAGGATCATCACCTTTCACAAGTCACATAGAAACCTAATCCCTAACTCCGTAACAACTAAAACAATTATTGTTTAAGACTAAAAATTTAATGAATCAGGAAGAACTAGAAACCTGGAAATGAAAATTATCACAAGTATTATAACACCTTTTTGAACCCAGCACAGGACTATTGTTCATTAATATATACACACACTACAACATAATCTAAAACTGAGCCAGTGATGAATAAACAGTAGATAATTTGCACACAAATCTGGAATACGAGGATAATCCTCCAAAGACATCCACGTAAAGTGCACATACACATGCGCACATGCAACAAAATGAGAGAAAGAGAGTACAATCCAGTATATCAGAAGCAGCAAGTATTTAACCAGCACACATGGAAGACTTAAAGATGGAGCTGACCGATCCCCAGTTTCAAAGGCATGAATAGTTCTTGTACTAATCATTACTATCCAAATCATCACATCCAAGACATAAACCAGCAATAAAAAGTTTGTACTCTCTTTTCCCTAGTAGTAAAAATAGACTACTGGCACTAAGAGAATGTAAGAAGGAAGGCAATACAAGACTAACAATTCAGATGTGAGCAGCTGACAGATTGGTTGGTCAAATTTTCAGTGCACCAAGAAATGAAGCCTTAAATACATGAAGAGAACCTGTAGCTGTTGCTGTAGTTCCCAACTACGCCCTGCCCCCAATCACACAATGATATTCATAAAGTAAATATTCTGACCTTGTAAATCTCTCGATATAATTAAATGGCATCACTTAATCTCAATATCAAGCAGGTCAAGAGAACAGAACTTTACCCTGAAGAAACAATACATTCACCTTTCATTTTTAATTATCAATAAATCCAAACTAGACCTCCCAGAATATACAAGCTGAAAGTCCAAAACATGTCAAGCTCAAAAACAAAAACACCACCACAAAACAAAACAAAACAAAACAAAACAAAAAAGAAGAAGACAGGGATCTCATCAGGACTACAACCAATATAAAGAGAAACTCGACCTATTCTTTAAAATCCTTGCATAGAGTTGCTTGCTCAGCATGCATTCAACCATTACTTTTAAGTTGACAAAATTGCCACACACTAAATATCAAATACCTCAAATAAGCATCTACTGCCCTCAATTTAAGCCCTTCACACATGATGCTTTTTCCTCAGTTTAAACTCTGTCAAAATTTTCAAAAATACTAAACCAAAGCTCTTCACTTTACTTCCAGCCAATGCTGATAGTATTACACAGTTGACTATATACAAGAAGGGGGAAATTTAGGGGTTGGGTTCAGCCAAACTTTCAATAACAACAACGGCATAAAAGAAACTCTAATGAGTCAGTATCTTAAAAAATCATGAAAAGCTTCTCTCTCAACACATTTCAAAAAAATGATAAATCAGTAATATAATACTCTGTGTAAGTTAAAAAGACATTTTCTTAGTCATCATTATTGCAACATCTAAACACTGTATATATATGTACAAATAAATAATTACTTAGCAATGAAACAGTTCCTGAGCCACCAATTATATGCCCAAATTCACAACCCCACACATTCAAAACCTTTTAAATTCCTAAATCATGTAAACAATTCACCCAAAAGCATGAAGATGAAAAGTCTATGCATTAGTATCATTAAATTGAACAATAATAATAGTTTAATTCGGGAACAATATAGATCTCTCACCATTTGAACCCGACCGCTTAGCTTGCTTGATTTTCTCGAGCTGAACCTGAGTATCCATGAACAGCTGCATCCTCTGAACCTCCAAATCTTTAGCGAATTGCATCCTCTGCTTCTCCAATTCAATCATCTGCCTCTGCTTCTCCCCTTCAATCCTCTCATACATCTCTCCAAACCTCTCAATCGCCCTCGCCAGCCTACTCATCCCTTCAACCTCATCCTCATCCCCTTCCTCCTCCGTTTCCTCCTCCTCCTCCGCCGCAGCGGCCGCAGCAACAGCCGAGTAATTCCTCCTAAAATACGAATCATCCACCGCCGGAGACGGCCGTTTCTGAGGAAGCACCACCGGCTGCACCACCAACCCCGGCGGCGGCTTCCGGTACACCAAAGGCACCGCCAACGGCGGAGAAGGAGCCTTTTTGGCCGTAGATCCGATCAAGTAATCAAGGCGGGGGAAGAAGGACCAAGAGCTGGCGACCGATCCGTTAGATTCAGAAACCCTAGCCTTCTCGACCTTGTACTTTTTCTTGAGAGTGTCGATGCGGTTCTTGCACTGGACGTCGGTGCGGCGTGTCTTCTTGGTGTGACCATGGCGGAGATTGACGGCGTCGGCCACCTCCTGCCAGTCCTTCTGGCGGAGGTTGCCGCGGTTGAGTTCGAGATAGCGGCGGCCCCAAGCGTCGACGAGAGTGGATGTTGCTTCTTCGCTCCAGCAGTCTTCGCGGAAAGGTAAGGATCGGGCGGGCGGTGGTTGGGGGGTTGAGAATTGTAATTCATCCATCGGAGATGGTGGTGGTGGAGAGAAGAGGGAGAAGAAGCAGAAGAAGAGGAGAAGGTGTGAGGATGAGGATGAGCGGCGATGATGCGCCGGTTGAGGAGAGACGCGTGAGAAGCATGACGTGTTGAGATGTGGGTGTGGGGGTGGGTGGGGGTATTGGGAAAGTGTACGGAGAGAGAAGGAGGGGTGACTGACTCGGTGAGGTCGCCGGGGCCAGAGAGTCGCGACGAAAACGCCAAGGATGGGGTTGCGTCAGCGGGACTCGGGCCGGGGTTCCGTTTGGGGTTAGAGCCGTGGAAGGGACGAAAGCGCCCCCAAAACGAGCCAGGATCCTCTAGAGTATTTTTTTCCTAAAGTTTCCTAGAGTGATGCATTATGTGGTTGAGATTTAATGACAAGTCACATCAATTTTTCACAAATAATTAAAATTTTATATTTTTGTATTTCTTTTCTATAACCTCTGTACTGTCGTTTTTCCCAATAAGAACAAGATCACTAAAATATATTAATGACAGATATAAATTATTATTTTCAATTAATTTTTTAAAAAATTTATCCATATTCTCTTTCAAAATCTTTTTTTAACTACTACCAATTGCAACTCTAGGAAAATTGTCAACGACTGTCAGGGGTATATTTTTGTATTTCTTTTCTATAACCTCTGTACTGTCGTTTTTCCCAATAAGAACAAGATCACTAAAATATATTAATGATAGATATAAATTATTATTTTCAATTAATTTTTAAAAAAATTTATCCATATTCTCTTTCAAAATCTTTTTTTAACTACTACCAATTGCAACTCTAGGAAAATTGTCAACGACTGTCAGGGGTGGTGAAAAAAAAAAAAAAAAATCAACAACAACAACAACAATGGACATGTGTATATCCACATATAGGTATGATACATGGGTAGATAGACAAATATATGGACAGATAGTCTAATAGATAAAGATATTACTCCATAATCTTTCAAATTATTATTATATTTATGGATAAAGAAAAAGAACTTAGAGTAACTACTTCAAAATTTTGAAAATTAAACTTCTAAACAGAGCGCTTTAAAAATTAGGAAAAGTTACTAATAAATCCCAAAATGTGAAATGATGGTCCAGACAGTCCTAAAAGATATTTGTTAATTAGTTTGGTCCTATTTCACGCGCGTTTACTAAAGTGCCCTCATTTTGCACGTGTGTCAATTAAGCTGTTGGTATTTCGTCTGGAGTAGGACATGTTTGGGTGTCACGTTGGCAAAAGTTCTATAGTAACTTCTATACCCTTCCAGATGTGTGACGGTGTGACATACCAGGCGTAACCCGACCTGTTTTTGATGCCTAGTTGGGTAATATGGAAGCCCCAATTTAAGCACTCAATTTCAGAACCTAGTTGTCATCAAATCCCTGTAATGTTGTTATCACCGTTTGTTTGATACTGATTTGAACGAATGTGAACCTCACATATTTGGTGATTTGGGATATCTGTGACATATTTGAGGATTTATTGTGTGTTGTTGTTGGTTATTGAACAATAATAATAGTTTAATTCGGGAACAATATAGATCTCTCACCATTTGAACCCGACCGCTTAGCTTGCTTGATTTTCTCGAGCTGAACCTGAGTATCCATGAACAGCTGCATCCTCTGAACCTCCAAATCTTTAGCGAATTGCATCCTCTGCTTCTCCAATTCAATCATCTGCCTCTGCTTCTCCCCTTCAATCCTCTCATACATCTCTCCAAACCTCTCAATCGCCCTCGCCAGCCTACTCATCCCTTCAACCTCATCCTCATCCCCTTCCTCCTCCGTTTCCTCCTCCTCCTCCGCCGCAGCGGCCGCAGCAACAGGTGGAAGGGCAGTAAACACAACCAGTTAAGATCATCATCACCTTTCACAAGTTGCATAGAACCCTAATCCCTAGCTGTCTGATACAACTAAAACAATTATTGTTCGACACTAAAAATTTAATGAATCAGGAAGAACTAGAAGCCTGGGCGTGGAAATCATCACAAGTATTATAACATCTTTTTGAACCCAGCTCACAAGTGCTCATTAATATACTACAACATAATCTCCAGCTGAGCCAGATGAACAAGCAGTCAGTAATTTGGACACAAATCTAAAAGGACCTGAATTTAAAATTATGAGGATAATCCTCCTAAGTCATACATGTAAAGAGAGAGAGATCCAGTACAAACCCTCTACGCATGTTGACGTTTCACTTTACTTCCAGCCAATGCTGATAGTATTACACAGTTGACTATATACAAGAAGGGGGAAATTTAGGGGTTGGGTTCAGCCAAACTTTCAATAACAACAACGGCATAAAAGAAACTCTAATGAGTCAGTATCTTAAAAAATCATGAAAAGCTTCTCTCTCAACACATTTCAAAAAAATGATAAATCAGTAATATAATACTGTGTAAGTTAAAAAGACATTTTCTTAGTCATCATTATTGCAACATCTAAACACTGTATATATATGTACAAATAAATAATTACTTAGCAATGAAACAGTTCCTGAGCCACCAATTATATGCCCAAATTCACAACCCCACACATTCAAAACCTTTTAAATTCCTAAATCATGTAAACAATTCACCCAAAAGCATGAAGATGAAAAGTCTATGCATTAGTATCATTAATTTGAACAATAATAATAGTTTAATTCGGGAACAATATAGATCTCTCACCATTTGAACCCGACCGCTTAGCTTGCTTGATCTTCTCGAGCTGAACCTGAGTATCCATGAACAGCTGCATCCTCTGAACCTCCAAATCTTTAGCGAATTGCATCCTCTGCTTCTCCAATTCAATCATCTGCCTCTGCTTCTCCCCTTCAATCCTCTCATACATCTCTCCAAACCTCTCAATCGCCCTCGCCAGCCTACTCATCCCTTCAACCTCATCCTCATCCCCTTCCTCCTCCGTTTCCTCCTCCTCCTCCGCCGCAGCGGCCGCAGCAACAGCCGAGTAATTCCTCCTAAAATACGAATCATCCACCGCCGGAGACGGCCGTTTCTGAGGAAGCACCACCGGCTGCACCACCAACCCCGGCGGCGGCTTGAGGCCATGAGATGAAAATAAGACAACTCGGAATTCTTGCAGACATGCACGCAAACCGAGGACCGAACCTAAGGCACGAATGCCACTCTAACAAGACATGGCAAGGCATGGAATATGGCATACTAGCATGCAAATTTCAGTGCTAAAATATGACCCAAAACAGCCCCGAATCATGGAAATATGGCACCCGATGCATGAACTGAATCCCGAAACATGAAATGAGGTACATGGAATGGCCTACGGCTATGCAAAGCATGCATTATTTGAACATGAAGTGTGAAGACAGATTCAAGGCAGTCCTAAAAAAAGTATATTTACAGTTTTAATCAAGGCCAAACAATAAACACAAATGGGGCTAAGCTAGCATGCAAAAATGACCCCGTAAGAGAGGTAATGAAGCAAGTAACAGCTTCTGGCCCTAAATGGCCAAGAGCTCTTCAACAAAGTTTAAGAGGGGCTCAAAATTAAGCACTTTACAGTTTATAACAAGCCACGGATCTAAACACAAACAGGCCTAAAACAATGTGCAAGAAAAGGGCCAAAAGGGGGACAAAGAAGCAAGTGATGGTTGCTGGCCTCAAACAGAAGAGGGCCCTTCAACAAAGTTGAATAGGGGCCCAAAAAATGGCATTTTACAGTTAGTGACCAAACCCAAAACAGTGCACATGAAATCCTAAAATACTATGCAAAATAAGGCCTAAAAAGAGGTTTAAACACAAAGTGTAAAAGAGGAGCCTCAAACAGCAAAATTCCCTTGATCAAACATGAATAGGGAGTCAAAATAAGGCTATTTACGGTTCGGAAAAAAGCCTAAAAAAATAAGCACAAGGGGAGTGACCAAACCCAAAACAGTGCACATGAAATCCTAAAATACTATGCAAAATAAGGCCTAAAAAGAGGTTTAAACACAAAGTGTAAAAGAGGAGCCTCAAACAGCAAAATTCCCTTGATCAAACATGAATAGGGAGTCAAAATAAGGCTATTTATAGTTCGGACAAAAGCCTAAAAAAATAAGCACAAGGGGATAACAAATCATGCAAAAATATGGCCAAAAGAGGGATATAAAGGCAAGTGGAAAATGGAAGCCTCAAACAGAGATGAGCCCTTCAACAATGTTGAAGAAGGGCTCAAAATAAACCACTTTACAGTTTATTACAGAGCTCAAAACAGTTTACACGTAGGCCAAAAATACTACACAAGAAATAGGCATACAAGAGAGGTAAAGAAGCAAGTGAAAAAAGGAAGCCTCAAACAGTGAGAGGCCCTTAAACAAACATGAAAAAGAGATCAAAAAAATGCTATTTTCAGTTAGGGTCGAAGCCCAAAAGTGTAAGCAAGAATGGCTAAGAAAGCATGCAAAAATGAACTCAAAAGAGGGGAAAAATGACTCACCCTTGTAGACCAATCTTTGACAACCTCTTGGCACAAGAAATGGTGCTCCTCAGCTCTGGAAAGCAGCTCCAAGTGGCTGGAATGGAGGTGGTAGTGTGGTGCTAGGTGGTGGTGTAAAAATGGTGTAGGAACTTAAGGGTTTTGAGGGTTAGGATGTAGAGAGGGAGAGATACAAGGCAAGAGGCTTGAAGCAAATTTTTGTAACCTCCCAAAACCAGCTGGGAGTGCTGGTTATATAGACAAAAAGGGTGGAAAAGAGGGGGGAAAATGGAGGGGAAAACAATTCAAGTTTCCCCCCAAAAGGCCAAACCCTCGGACATAAGGCCTAGAGGAAAATAAAATTCACTTCTAAGACACACTTGGGGAGGGGGTTATGGCCAGCTAGCTAAAAAGGGCAAAAAAGTCATTTCACCAGCTAGGTGGCCGGCCTGCTAGATTTTCTGGCCGGCCTGCTACTTTGAGGACCAAAAAAATGGGCTGCCGGAAAGAAAAGTGGCCGGTGGGTGATTGGGAAGTCCAATGGTGGCCATTCAAGTGTCCAAATTGAAGCCCCAGAAGTTAGCTTTCCAATGGCGTAAACCTTGCATTAACATTTCTCCTGTGGAAAAAGTTATACCCTTTTTGGTGAAGCCGCGCAGATTTCGGTCCAACCGAAGTGATGCCCTACTTTAATCAACTATATCTCCCCCGTCCGGAATTGGATTTAGGAGATTCTTGAGTGCAAAATGAAGCTCCAAAAATATTATTTCCAACGGTGGTGGCCTCATAGCTTGATTCCAAGTACGCAAATGACTAGGCCCGATTCGGCGAGGGCTGTTCGACTCTTTCTTAACGGTTCATGCCCATTTTCTCCCCCAACTGGATTTCTTCC